CCTCCCTTAGCCTTGGCAGAACTCAAAATCATTGTACCAAGTCACACAACCTCCTCGATCTTGGGCACATCATTCTCCTTAGATGCTTTGATCCTATGTTCATCCATCTTATTGGATAACTCGACTTTATCTAGGCAAGCTTGCAACTCTTGTGGCTTCTTACATCGATGACCCTCTGATTACTCATCTCTTACCCATGACTTATGGCACTTGTCACTTTCATTTGTGCCAAGTTCAAACTTGTCATCTTCACTAATAACTGTATCTACTCTCAGTGAACTTCTTTCGTCACTAGGACAATTTCACTCCCCATCTCTTGATGACTTTTCAATATGGATTTCTTTGTTATGACCTACGACTTCTTTCAGCTTGGACATCTTCTTGACTTAAATTTTAATTATGGACTCGTCAATTTTCAAGGCTTGAGACAACACCTTGAATCCCCTTCTCTCTATCTTCGTCTTTGACCACGACTATAATCCCTCTATGAAGGTGAAGAACCCATATTCTTCAGTTAAGTATGGGACTTCGAATAAGAGTTCCTTTAACTTACTCGAATACTCCTTCAACATCCCGTCATGTCTAAGATTCATCAACTTAAACAATGCCTTAATCTCGGCAAGCATTGAGGATAAATGTTCCTCTAACGATTCAGGCTCCTTTAGCCTTGATCAACTCTAAATTCCACAACAATGTCTATCTCCTTGGCATCCTTGGCAAGTTTTTGACAACTTTTGGTTTTGAAAAATCATTTTGCGTTTGGCGTTTACTTAGCTTAGCAACAACAAACTCATTGAACCAAGCCTAGTATTCTCACTACTCTCGGTCTTATCCTTTCCCTTAGACTGCTTGACCCGATTTGGGCAATCTCGCACTATGTGTGGACCTTTACATCGGAAACACTCTAGTTGCTCTTTATTATTTACCCTCAATTTTCCCGCTTGGGCCTTTACTTTCGTGCTGAGTTTTGCATCATTTTTGCAATCATACACTTTTTGTGATCCCTAACAATAGAAACAATTCAATAGATCTTCTTTCTTTACCTTTAACTTTCATGCTCTGCCATCTGCATTGGCATCAAGCTCTACCTATTTTGAAAACTATTGGCTTTGTGTGGTCCCTCACATAGGAAATAATTTAGTGTTGCGCTTGTTTACCTTCGACTTTCCTGCTTTCCACCCACATTTGCACCGAGCTCAGCTCCTAGTTTGATTTCTTTAACTGTGGTAATCACACCATCTTTGACTACTTCTCATTCTGGCTCGTCTTCACCCTTGATGAGTGTAGTAAGTCGAATCTTTCTGGGATACCTTCTAATCAAATGAGGACAATCATAGAAGTAATATTTAAAGGCTTAACTTTCTTATTCGCGGATTTGGTCTTTCTATGATTCCCTGATGACTTGTTCCGACCATGATTAGTTGATGACTTTCATAAGCCACTCGAAGAGCTTTCTTCACCATGTATCCATTGTCCCTTATCATGATCTCCATCACTTTCATCCCTATCACTGGGCATGGTTCTGGATGACTCGCTACCAATTGACTTGACTTATGCAAGTTCTGATTGTGACTCAACTATAGCTTTGACTTTTGAACAACTCTGGGCATCACTCTGCTTAACTTTCAGCATCACCCTTGGTCTAAGTCTTTTCAAGAAGGTCTTGTACGCTCCAAACTCACTCATTGTACCCCTGTACATGATTAGCTCACTCTTGAGCCCATCCATCTCTTCTCTCAAAGCTGTTTCCTCATCCATAAGCACATTACTCATCACCAATAACGATTAATCATTGAGATTTTATTGTCACGGCCTTGAACCAGTCCCTCATGGCTTATAATTGTTCAAGTCATGATTCCAAAACTTCTTGGACCTCATTGACTTCTTCAACAAAGTTTTCAAGGCTCTCGATTCGTATATCCACTAGTCCTATGGCTTATCCCATACATTGTCTTTCTAGAATGACACCACTGGTGATGTGTAAATGCTATAGTATAGTGCAAGCATACACTATCAAATAAGTAATAAAGTGGAAACTACAAGAGTTTCGAGTGTTGAACCCATAGAGAACATTGTATCATGAGTTAGAATTGTTAATCTCAAATAGAAAATGATAAGGTTGAAGTGAGATAGTGATAGGAATACAGAAACTCTCATTAAAAATCTTATAATCAAGCATAAAATAGGTATCATATATCACTATACGAATATGTTACTCTCGTAATCACCTAAGCTGTAACAAAGCTAGCATACAATTATAATTAATTTCATCTATAAAAATAATCATAAATCACATGCATAAGATGTTACTATCTCTAATCAACATCATATTAAAACCACAAATCATAAATATAGTTTAATCAACAAAAACCATCGTATAAGCATTTAGTCAAATAATTTATGTTTGATTCCCAAATAAATAATAATAAACATTCAACATTCATAATAATGTTTTCTGCTCTATCAAGTTCAAAACATGAAAGCAATATTGAACCCCAATCAACCATTGCTACTACACAAATGCACCACTGCAACTAAAATCCCTAGTGAGTTCAAACATCCATGGTCGGTGTAAATGGAAATGAAAAATGGTTGAAGAAAAGTTCCCAAAAGTGTGAAGGGATGCCTTATTTATAATACCTAAAGGTCAAAGCATCTACCAATATGAAAAATATGATTTTTCCTATATTTTCCATCCATTTTACAGATATATTGAAAAGTTGTCCGATTATATAATTTTCTTGTAATTGTCTACTAAGTCACCAATTGTTGCAGCATCAACACGGCAATCCAGTACAACATTAGTGCACAACAAAGTCTACAACATAGATAATGTAACAACATCAACGTATCAAATTACAACAAATAATAAAGAAAAGACAACATTCTGACGCATTGTCCTCAATGCATGTAACAAGAAAATAATAAAAACGTGAATAAAAGTAAATAGGAGAAGGGAAGCAATACTCCCCTAGCGAGTCTTTCTTGGGATGGGAAAAGTTGGGTGAGTATTCATTGCTGATGCATTCTTTTTCAGTTGCATTTTTCTTTTGCTGATATATAATACTACATCAATGACTGTCTGTAACTTTAGCTGATGGTGTGAAGAAACAACAACATTGTGATGGATGATAGTATGCTAATTAATGTGGAAACATGACCTGAAAATAAAGAAAATAAAACTAATAAAATCTAAAAAAGTAAAATGAAAATAAAATGTAATGTAATGAAATAAAATAAAATAAATAAAAAATTAAACTAATCAGCCTTGAGTTCATAGAACCAAATTGAAGCAATATGTTTGGGTATACTGCCATCATAGTGTTTTATCTCGTGCTCATTAAACATGCTCCAACATTCATCCAAGTGTGTTTGTTTTGTTCCTTCGATAATGCCAACAGTATAACATTCAACATTGTCATCGCATTGCAAAATATTGAATGTAATTTGATGGTCATTTAGTCGCATTGTGAGTTCCCCTTTGTGGACATCAATCAATGTTCATGCTGTAACAAGGAAATGTTTGTCTAGTATTATTGGCACATCCTTGTCGGCTACATAGTCTAAGACAATAAAGTGTGCCTGATAAATGAATTTGTCCACTTGTACGAGACCATTATCTATTTTTCCTTGAGGATGGGTATTGGAATGTTCAATAAATTTTAATGTAATAGTTTTTGTGTTGCTTCAATCCCAAATTTCCTGAAAATAGACAAAGACGTTAGATTAATACTGGTCCAAATTACAAAATGTTGATGCAATAAATTGATTGCCATTAGTGAAAGAATAGTAAATATCCCTGGATCTTTCAATTTCGGTGGAAATCTGCTCGTGAATAGTGCTACACCCTTTAACGAATACAATAGTTTGAACTCGCCAATGCTATGTTTCTTTAAAAGCACTTTTTTCATGAATTTAGCATAGTTCGACATTTGTTCCAAGGCATCTATCAAAGGGATATTGATCCTTAATTACTTCAGCACATCAATTGACTTCTTGAATTGCTAGTCATTCTTGCTATTTTGAAATCGTTGAGGGAATGAAGGTTGTGGTATTCCTTTAAGTTACAGCGACATCACATGTGGTAATGTTATTGGCATTGTTGGTGGCAATGTCCTAGAGTTATTGCACTGGCCTGCATCATTTGTTGTGACATCAATGTTGGGTGGCTCAATCTCTACTTCCAGCTCATTGCCTTTAAATATCATTCTTCTCATCCTCTTTCTTTTTGAGCTCATCATTATTCCCAAGTTGGAGTCTACTTCTCTTTGTGACAGCTTTGTAATGCTGGTTACAAGTAACTTCAGTGTCACTTGGCAATGCTCTTTGCTGTTTGGTGTTTAACGCATTGGCCAACTTTCCAACTTGAGTCTCTAACGCTCACAATGATGCCTTTGAATGTGCTCCATTAGTAGAGACTCAAGTGATAAAGATATTGAATCTTGGTTGAAACTATGCCCTTGATAGCTTTGCTGGTTGTAGCATTTGTGTGGTTGTATTGCTTGATGATGAGTCTATTGATATGAAAACATCAGTTGTTGTTGTACGAATTGTTGTTGAGAATGATATTGTGGTTGTGTACTCTCACAATATGGATTCATTGTTGCATTAGGTTCATCTATATTCTGACTACCCCATGAAATATCAAAATGATTCTCCAACTTCATATTGTAGATATTAGTATTGTTATTCCAATTGTAGCTCCTTGTGAAATACAAAAAATCTTTAGGTTGTTGCATATTCATTATCATCTCACTCAATACTATAATTTGTGAAGCCATTGAGTTTAAACATCATTGTTCATTGCTACAACAACATATCTCCCCAGCATTATCCATTTGTTAGGATATTGTTATTCATTGTTGGAGATCCTCTCAAGGATGTCGTAGGCTTCATTGTAAGACTTGTCCAACAATGCTCCATTAGTAGAGGCATCTACAACCATTCGGGTTTGCATGTTAAGACCATTTTAGAAGGTCTATATTTGTGTCCAATGCCAGAAACCATGCATCAAGCATTTACGCAACAATTCTTTAAATTGCTCTCATGCTTCGTACAAGCTCTTGTCCTCCAATTTCTTGAAAGATGTGATATCATTCCTCAGTTTAACATTCATGTTGGGCGGATTGAAACACAAAAAAAGTTTTTGTTCCAACTTTTTCTATGATGTTATGTCACCAAGCGGTAACGAGTTAAGCCATGCTCTAGCATTTTCATGGAGCGAGTGAGGAAATAATTTCAACTTCAGTGCTTCTACGGACACTCCTTAATGTACAAAACAATCGCACACTTCCATGAATGCTCGCAAGTGTGCTCAAGGGTCCTCGATGTGTATCCCGCTATATTGCACAATTAACTCCAACATTTGGAACGTCACAAGCATCATTTGAAATGGGAAACATAGATGGAAGGCTTTACAATCTTAGGATATATATCATCCAATGTTGGCACAATATGTTCTCGGATTACCTGTTGCAATCATCGATGTTGTAGCAATGCTGTGACATTGTAACATTTAGTGAATGCAGGACACAATAATAACCCATATTTATTATTGTTGAAATTTTTGTCCCAGATGTTGTTGGGTGGCATACGCCAGCAACACTATGCTTAAAAATTTACCTAAAAAAGAAAATAAAAAAGTTAGTAAAGACAAAAGAAAAACAATTATGATGTAATACCATTTCTCCCCAACAACGGAGCTAAAAACTTGATGCTATGTAAATGTTACAGCAGAGTGCAAGCATACACTGTCAAACAAGTAATAAAGTGGAAACTATAAGAGTTTCGAGTGTCGAACCCACAATGATCATTGTATCACAAGTTAAAATTGTTAATCTCAAATAGGAAATATAAGGTTGAAGTGAGATAGTGGCAAGAATACAACAAAAGTATTGAAGCATAATGGTATATGGCAGGGAATGTAATAGCAAGTAGAAGAGCAAACAAACCAATGGACCTAAGATGTTGTCATCTTGGGCTACTAACAAAATAATAATGTTGTATAACTATGTTCATAAGTCATGCAAATATTATCTCCAACTTATTAAATTTTTAACTCTCTTTAAAAATATTATAAGTTCATAATCAAGCATAACATATGCATCATATATCTCTATACGGATATGTTACTCTCGTAATCACCTATGTTGTAACAAAGTTAGCATGCAATTATAATTATTTCATCTCTAAAAATAATCATATATCACATGTATAAATGTTATTATCTCTAATCAACATCATATCAAAACCACATATCATAAACATAATTCAATTAACAAAAACTATTATATAAGCATTTAGTCGAACACTTTATGTTCAATACCCATATGAATTGTAATAAATATTCAACATTGACAATAACGTTTTTTCTCTCTTAAGTTCAAAACATGAAAACAAAGTTGAACCTCAATCGACCACCATTACTATGCAACTACTCCACGGCTGCTGCTATAATCCCCAGTGAGTTCAAATCTCAGTGAGTTCAAATCTCTATGGCCCGTTGGAGGAAAAAAATAAAATAAATGGAAATGAAGAATGGTTGAAGAAAAGTTCCCAAAAGTGTGAAGGGAGACCTTATTTATAATCTCCAAAGGTTAAAGCATCTATTAGCCATTTTACAGTTGTATTGATAGTTGTCTGATTCTATAATTTTCTTGTAACTGTCTGTTGAGTCACCAGTTACTAAAATATCATAAATAGCCCAAAAGATATAAACTCACTCCCAATATGTAAATGATGTAAAATATGATAAAATAAACCTAAAATGATCCTAATAATGCTAAAGTTCAAGGTTAACCTAGGTAAAAAGATACTAAAAAGATAACTCTTTTGGAGAGTTATCATCTACCAGCAACACCATGGCTCTTCACGCCATTCTCTTTGGGAACGTCTCTTTGTTGCGCCATATCAATCACACTTTCCACTAACAAGCTGGAACAATCACTGAATCCACAATGACCCAATTCAACACACTCTGACATACTTATATGCTTTATGTCCGCTTGTCTTGAAATAAGTTTTGATAACACTTGTCACGAGGCTAGACTTCTGATAGCTGTTTCGTGTGGCACTTAGACAATTTCTAAGTTGAAAGGGCGCCTAAGTCAACCTTCACCACGTCCTTGTGAGACTCTAGTTCACCAAGAGATACGCTAACCCGTAGGGTTAGATCAATAGGGCTAATCCAAGCCACCAAGGTTAAACAACTCTTGAAAGCGCAAGCATTGTCGAAACTTTCTAAGTAACAAAGACTCAACCACTTTGAAGCTCTGAAAGAACTGTGGGAAAGTAAATACTCTCAATACTAACCGATCTTCACAATCGGCAATGCAAGCCACAAAGGCTTAAGCAAAAAAAGAAACAAGCTAAGTAGCTTCAGTAACAAAGCCAAAGGCTAGAAAACTAGAAACAAAGGCAACATGGAAACAAGAGAGAATTCAAGAGTAAATGCCTGAGTTTATTACTCTCTAAAAAGAAGATTTCTGATGAATGATTACAAACAACGGATGAGCTCTCTATTTATAGTTGAGGCCCTAAAAAACCAACGGTCTAGATCAATGTACATCGACTTACATTGAATCATACCTTATCAAAACTCTATCTAAGGATTACCTCTTTAATTAAACATTTATCTACTTAAATTAAAAGATAATTCTATCCATTATAGAACATTCCAAGGAGCGGGCCAAGTCTAATGGCTCTCGGCAAGCCCAATACTCATAACTCTTCTACGAAAATTTGTGCATGTCTTGGTCCTAATCCACGAGCCTTGACAAATTCACCTCCATCGAACATGTAACACCCTCGTCGCTTTTCTTGAACGCCCTAAGAAATGATCCTCCATGGACTCATAAGCATTCTCTAAAAACTAGGCCAAAATAAGCTTAGCCTATGCAAGCCCAAGTCTGCACACACAAGACCCCTTTTTTGAGCAATTGTGCCAATGTCTCGGGCCCTAAGACACAGCCCGTGACAATATGATGAAATTCAACTAGGATTATCGTGTTATATTTCTTCCAAATCCAGGCTGCAGCCATGTCGTCTATAATATAAAAACACGTGGCTTCCACGTTTCTTACCCAGCCATTCAGCGCTCTAATATATAATTGATTAATTTTCTTCAAGAAACCCTGCAAGTTCATTAACCTTGTTCACAAGCTATTTTTCTTTTTCTTTTCAGAGTCTGAATTTTACTCATTTTTTCTTCTCTGAAGTCCCTTTCGGAGACATTAAGGAAGCTGTACTCTCCAAAGTTATGTGGATTAGTTCAGGATTTAACCTTCCATGCAAGGTTCCCATGGCCATAGAGTCCTGCAAACCTCAGTCTTCCATTATTTGTTTCAGTCATTTCTTGTTGATATCAAAGAACAAGAGGAAACACCAAGTTCTAAGAAACTTCAAGTTTAAATCTCTGGGCAGATGTCTTAGATTGCAAAATACTGTCAGAAAGAGGAACATGGTCTTCTGCAACACTAGTGTTGAACCTGGACCTATAGTCCCTTCTGTTCCTGCTCCTTCTCCTGCCTCCTGGTTAGTCTTATACATGTATTACAAATTAAGGGGGGAAAAGAGATCTTCTTCAATGAGATTTAGTCAAATTCATTTCTAAGTTTTGCAAGAAACCTTGGATTCTGATGAGTATAATCCTACCCATGTGGAGAGGCAACTGGCGGCCATTATTAAAACTCAAACGTCACCACTACCTCTCAATATCCTCAACTTATATATATGTATTACTTCTTCAATCTAACTTTAGGTATGTTGTTGTTTATATGTCTGTAGAGGTAGCTGAAATTGTAATAGACACAGTGGAAGCCGTGATGGATATAGTAGAAAATTGATATATGTCCATCTTTTACTAGAAGGAAAACTTAAGGATGCTCTTGAAATTGTTGAAGATTTGGCTGATGAAACAGCTGATGGTGCACGTATAGCTGGAGACTTCATTGACAAGGACTTCTTTCTTATGCAATTAACCTAAATCCTTGTGTTTTTTTAGCATTGTTTTTTATTCTTTATTAACAGTAGGTTAAGAAAGTTGGTATATTAAGAAGTTTAACACCTAATTCCCGACATTAAGTGTTTGGAATTAAGATCATATGGTATAACACTGCATCAAATGTTACAAAAGACTGATATATATATATATATATATATCATTATTTAATTTATTTTTTTGAAGAAGTCATTCTGCACTTAATTCTTTTAATCAGAACTAATACTCAATTGGGATGTTAATCTGGAATTTCTTTCGATTTTTTTAAGGCTGCTGACACAAATAAAGATGATGCAGGTAGAAGAAGACACGGTAGACCAAGTGGAATAAAACCAAACAGTGGTGATGAAGCCAAAGAGAAAAAGGAAACGGCCGAGGGCTATGCTTAGGCAAAACATGTTTGTTCGCCGCTCATCCATTGCAATAATTAAGTTGGATGAATAGGAACCACTTCAATGAATCTCGTATTATTAAAGCAGATGCGCGTAGTAATTAGATATAACGTTGGTAATTAATTGTATAATATTCTATATAAAAGTTGATTTTATGTGATTTTGTACTTGAAAATTGAAATTTTATTTAATTTTGATAAATTATTAAAATTATTATCGAAATAAAGTAAAACAATATTAAGAATTATTATAAAAATATTTTTTTTTATATAATTATTAAATAAAACAATTAAATCTATTATTTAATAATACAATAATATTAATGCATTTATATGTAAACTTTTTTTTGTCCACTTATAATAATTTATTAGTTTTTTTCAAAATATAAAGTAATAATTCCAAATATAATTAGTTTCTGATTACATCATTTTCTCAATCATCAAAAAATTATTTTGAGATGATACTTTAAATGTGTATCACGGTATTTTCTTTCTCTTAAATCTCATAAAATATTATTCTTTCTCTTTATTTTAAATGATTTTACATATAATTAAAAAACTAAAATTAAAGTTTATAAGTAAAATTATTGGTACCTAACTTTACTATCATTAATATATAAAATGGTAAACTACTCCAAATACCACTCATCTTTAGGTGTTGACTCGAAAATGCCACTGACGTTTCAATTTTGTCAATTTAAGCACTGACGTTTATGTT